GATAACAGTTGTATGAGCCCCTAATAAAATGTTTAAAAAAAGAAAAAAAAAGAAAATCAGCCAATGGAAAGCTTTAGATATTGATTAACCTGTGCTTTTTCTTTTGCTCTCTCATTAAATAAATGGCTGTCAAGCTGACATTCACAGTGACCCTATAGTGCAGTTAAAAGACAGACTATATGACTCTTAGTCAGCATTCTGCACTTCTGTATTTCTTTTCCTGACATTAAGGTTAAGTTCAAAACAATAAAGTATGGAATACATTTTGAATCATCTTACCGGTGAGCAATTCTATCCATGTTTGGACAGTTTCATTGGGTTCAGTTGCTTTAATGTGCCTGAGTGTTTCATCCAGTAAGATGTCACCTGTTGGGCTGTCTGTCTTTACCAGGACCTTTCAAGATAGAAGAAACAAGGGCTGTGGCTCATTTAACATATTGAAATTAAAATATTAGTGGTTAAGTGTTACAGGAAATGCAAAGACGCTCTTATCACAATCCATCCATCCATCCATTGTCTCAAGTACATTAGGACAAATATTTAACAGCATTTCAAATGTAACCTTTCTGCATGAAAAAAGGAAAGCAAGAACTCTCTTGTTTTTATTGTTCAAGATACACACATGTTTAATGTATATCACTAGACAAGGTTTTTTAACACCATTATCAGAAGTTGGCCCTAAAACTACCAAGGAGATATTTTTTCCCCTTTGATTTAAATTCAAATTCCATTCCAAAAAAAGAAAAGCAACCCAAACAAATAATGCCTAGCTTTTAGGCTCAAGATTTCCAGAAAATGAAAACAGAAGATAAATGAATTTGCTTTTTTTCTAGCAAAGTCTATTTTCAGCAAAATGGCCAAAGGCAGAAAGTCCTGACTGCAGGATGAGGAAAAAGGAGTGACCACCCCATAGAACAATTAAAGGTTGATGACGATGACAGCAGCCCTTTCTAGAGGAAATACTGTCCTTAGGCTGTGATCCATACCCAGAAACCCTAACAGCCCTGGATGCGTATCATCTGGGATTGTTCAGATGGCACACATTTCTGTGTCTTCCTGCTGTTGGGGCCTCATCGATGCCTCTCTGTGGCATCTGTCATCTGTTTTTCCCTTTGGCTAATCTCCTCTTTTCAAATCCGAAAGTGTACATAAAGTGCAAGTAAGATCCAACCCCTCCCCTGTGCTGTCATGCTCGCATCTTGACAGTCAGTGATACCAAAATCTATCAGCAAGTTGTCTGCAGATATTTCTGAAGTTAGCAAAAAAGTTGGCAAAGACAGTGTCTGAAGGTCAATGAAGTGTTGGCAAGAAGACACAAAGTACCACACACAAGACAAGGGTGTGAACTATGGGAGGCATTCCAGCAGCAGGGAGAGATTCTCATCACTGAGATACGAAGGAGGCCATCTTTGGATCAACTCTTTAAAAGAGC